AMMAARRARGGGGSTGCAACATCTAASGCTAATTTGAAAACGATCGCAAAAATCAATAAAAAGAGTAAACATTATAAAACAAAATATAATATCACATACTAATAAACGTTTTCTTGAATTGATATTTGTTTTTAGTCTAGATATCGTAAGTTCATGGCAATGGGTGATACGTACCAAGCCAATAAATACCTKTTATCCGATCCTCAAGACACTTCTAAATACCTGTCAGTCCAGTTTTTCACSGACAATGCAATCAACCCCTGCCTGGAGTCTACGTACGAATTCTTCGAGCACATCGTCTTTCAAGTACGCGATATGCATCTTGGGATTCAACCTTTGGAAATATTCCATTTTGGAGGGGACGAAGTGGCTCATGGAGCTTGGACCAAGTCCCCCGCTTGCGCTAAACTAGCAGCTGAACTGGGAATGAATTTTACAAGCCCTAATATAGTGAAGGTATAAACAAGCAAAGCATGTCCATTATTTCCTGTTTGTAAAAAGTTGTTGTCTTTTTGTTTTGTTATTATTTATTGGAATTTGATTCCAACTAGTTTCATCAAACTTACCGTGAAAYAGTTATTCTATACTAGACTTGGACATATTATTAGCAGAACTTATTTTGAATTTTTTTCTCAAATGTTTAAACTAGAGGGTAACTACAGTGAARCCCCAGTAATCCGGCCACCAAAGGGACATTCGTAAATTGACGTATTAACGAAGTGGTTGTTAAAAGTTTTACCAAAACCACGTGTTTTGATATAAAGGAATATCTGATAACTTAATACTACTAGTTTATAAAATATTAAAATATAAGATCTGAGTTAACTTATAAAAGCTAAAAATAGCTGTATTGCACGTGTTTGCATCATTATTTTGACATTTCAATATCACAAAAAATCAAGGATCCCGAAATTCGAATGCAAAGTGCAAGAAAATCTTTCATGTATCAAGGCCTGATTTTTAATGCATTTTGTTTCGCATAGGATTTAAAGGAGTACTTTGTGCGTCGAGTGTCCGACATATCTCATAAATACTGCCTTGATATCGGTGCTTGGGAAGATGGCGTTCTTGGGGTAAAGGACACGCCCTACGACAGGTCGTACCTCAAAAATAAAAAAGTTTATGCCTACGCTTGGGACAATGTCTGGGAATGGTTTCAGGGAGACCGTGCATATAAGTTGGCAAATGCAGGCTACAAAGTAAGTCTTACTTAAGTTAAGTTTATAATGAGCTCTTTTCCGAAGTTTACAAAAAACAGCAATAACCTAAAGGTTGCCCTTTTTGAGCTTGCTTATYCTTATATTATATTGATATGTCAGGAAAATGATTTTTGTTAACAAACAAAGTTTATTTGAGCTGGGCTGCAGAAAACATGTTGTTCGGTTTGGTTTTAACCGTAAAAAGGTCTTTGAAATGGAGCAGGTTTTGATAGAACCAACCATGGGGACTGGATGTGAGGAGAGCTGGGCACAACGGTCACATCGTATGTTTTTAATGCAATGCCATTCATACAACAAGCAATTGTAGGACAGACACCAATCATCTAAAAACGAGCATTATAATAACACACTTAATAGACGAGGCCGGAGAGGGCTCTGGTTAGATGTCATTGAGTAGGGCTTAACAACTATCACRAAGTAATATATGAGGATTGACAAAACAAAAGGGAGACAAAGAATTTTGATGCACTGAGTGAATAAATCGCGTCTTTTGGACGTCTAGATATTTCCACCAAAGCTAACCCCTTTTGTGATGTATTCTCTCATATTGACCTGTAAATAGGCAGTACAGCGCACGCAAGACACGCAACAATAGCTGGTATGAAGCTCAAGGCTCCACCTTAATTGTCATGCACCTCGCCCATAAACCAGAATACAACGCGCGCAGTTTGCTTTTTTCCTTAGTTCGTGATTCGTTCGTGGCCGTAATTACTGATCCAATGATTAGAGATCTTCCTTTTGTAAACAGGACAAWGATTGACAGCACAAAAGAGAGACAAAGATTTAAGACCCTTTTGATGCAGTGAATATATCGCATCTTTTGGACGTCTAGATATTTCCGCCAAAGACACCTTTGTGATGTATTCTTTCGTATATTAGTTGCAATGGTGGTTTTATTTCACGGTTTATAGTGTTATAGCTCTCGAAATATTAAGAATTAACCATTCTTTCATCATTTCTCCATGATATGGTTTCATAGCAAACAATCAAACCACATTTAATTTGTCTAATGATTTAATTTGMACCAAAGGTTGTCATGACCCAGGCCACTCATTTGTACTTCGATCACCCGTACGAACCTGACCCAGAAGAGCGTGGGTACTACTGGGCACCACGATTCATAGATACTCGGAAAACATTCGGGTTTATGCCTGACGATCTTTACGAAAATGCCGACTTCACAAGGATGGGAGATCCTATCATAGATCTTTGCAATAACATGTACAAAGGAAAATGTGTTCCTCTGAAAAAGCCAGAAAATGTGGCAGGTATGTTGTTATTGAATGATTTTATGTTTTAGCTATACTAGATATATCATGGGCGCGCGCTGCGCTCACYCTTGAGAGATCTTTTCAACACTYGAAGATAAAATCCATATCTCCAAGCGACCAYGTAATTTTCTGTTTAGCATATAATTACATGTAAAAGTAAATTATGTCGTAAAATAGTTTTTTTTTCTTATTTCCACTACATAGAGAAACCGTGCATGTGTTTTTTCACAGTGAAAATAACATGTTAGTTTTACAAGTGAAAATAACAACTTAACGTAAAGGAGAAATATAGGTATTTTATAGCGGAGCTCCCGCGCGGGCCGAAGGCCCGCGCGAGCGGAGCACCATAACTAAGGAAAAATGGTAACCCATGTTGAGTTTTGATCAACCGACACAGGAAGCCAAGTTGTCCTTCCGTCCGTCCGTCCGTCCGTCCGTCCGTCCGTCCGTCCGTCCGTCCGTCCGTCCGTCCGTCCGTCCGTCCGTCCGTGTACATCGCGATTCTGATTGGCTACTTTTTTGAGAAGGCGGGAAAAGGAAGCGCGCTCGCGTCAATTTTTGAAACAACTTTTTCACAACTTTTTCAAATTAATTATTAATTTATGATTTATGCATGATTGAACAATACCAAAACTGTCAAAATGCATTTATATTATTTTATGATTCCTGTAAAGATTGAAAAATACCAACTATTAAGAATTTACAAAAAAATTGCAAACAATTTCAATCTATTGACATATAAAGATGCATTTGTTATTATTTTTATTACCGTATTTCTGCATGATTGAAAAATTTCAACTGTCAATTCAAAATGCATTTAATAATATATATAAATCCTGTATGATTGAAAAGTCAAAGTTTCAATATATATTAATAATTTATATTAATTTATGATTTCTGTAATCGGAGTACAAACATTAAATGTGTGCAATACTTTCCACTATTTAGTACAAAATAATGTTAATTAAACAATAGAAAACAATAGAATTAGCATAATTTAGCAGTATTTAGTGGTATTTATGTTGCACAGTTTAAAGAAGTTTTATTTTGGTAAATAACCTAAATTATGTTTTTAGCATTATACATGGTGTACTCTTCATAAGAAATTGTGCACTATCYGAATGCACACAATACCACAAGAATTCAAAATAAGTGGTTTTCTTTACATATATATATGTATCACTGCTTTGCATCAAYAAAGCTGAAGAGAAAATATTTAATAATTATTTAATGTAGTGTAATGGAATTTTTTTGTTAAAAAAAAAATTAGTCTTGACAAAACATGTACTAAAAATGTGGCCAATGTGTCTTGCATCCCATCTTTATCCAACATGCATAWCTTTTGGGAGATCCGCTATTAGGTTTTACCTAATTTTTATATTAGATAAGACTGATCTATTCAGAGATCTTTTCAACACTCGAAGATAAATTCCGTATCCCCGCGCGCCCATGTAATATGCTCTATTTATTACATGTACTCGCATGAATAAATGCCAGGACAAAAGAGCATATTTTCTTGTAATTGCATCTGAGGCTGTGTCGACCGCCTGGTCATGTGTGGCGTGTTTGTGAATAATTTCTACTATTTTGTATCTAAAGGTATGGCTGGCGCTTTATGGAGTGAAACAGTAAGAACTCCTTCCCAGCTCAATTCCATGATATTCCCTCGCATGCTAGCTTTGGCCGAGAGGGCATGGCACGTTGGTTGTTGGGAAAATCAAAAGGACGAAGTCGAGAAGCAAAGACATTTGAAATTGGACTGGGAAAGCTTTGCCAACACACTCGGTTACAAAGAACTACGAAGACTTGATGATCTGAGCATTGATTATCACATCCCTGTTCCTGGGGCAAGGTTAGTTTGATAGGGCTGGCTTGTTTAAAAACCGATTCGCGTTAATCCAGGATCCTAACTCCATATACGTTGTTTTTAAAATACGCATTTTTCCCGTTCAAAGCGAGCAACCGCTGATTTAGTTGACAACAGTCTCTCATGCGCAGAGACCTCACCAAAAACAAAAGAAAGCACGAAAAAATGTTGTCATTACAATAGCGCTAAGCCTGTATTCCCAGAAGGTTCAACTTCTTGCTCAGGCTGAGCCTCAAATCGGAGAAGATTCAAATTTCTAGAGCTATTGTAATGTCAACATTTTTTCGTGCTTTCTTTTGTCCTGTACGCGAGTCAGTTGTCTACTAAAACAGCGGTCGCTCGTTTTGAACTGGAAAAAGGCTTAAAAAATCCACGATTACCGATCGAGCTTTGAACAACCTGACCTTGATTTTGAAATTTGAATTAAAAGTCTAGCCTAATAGGCCATTTTAGTATTCTGTTTGTATGGCCATGCGCAGAAGAACTGAAGACAGGGAAAATTWATTAYGGTTTAAATTACTCATTTTTATAATATCAARATCTAAAAGCTACTCGTAATTTTTCCCTCGCGGCTAGCCTGCGTTACAGCCGACGTTTGCGCGTAATATAACGGATACACGGAAGCTAGTCACGGCATGGCATTAATCATTATACCAATGCTAGTGGACTATTAACAGTCTGCATTTGATTTCTGATTGGCTGTGCGACCGCGTTTATTTCTTATATCCCTAAAGTAGTGATAAAATCTGAATTTTATTTCTTCTGAATTTTTCGATTTGTCCTCAATTTATTTGCACATAAAGGTGTGGTTAAAGAAACGAACAGACCTAAATGCCCTCAAGGAACGGTCAAAAACACATTTCGAATTCACCTTATTAATATTAACTATCAACCCTCATTGAGAGCGAGAGAGATGTATAATCAACAAACATCTTGTAGTAGAGTAGCCAATCACATCGCTATTAAAGACTTATTCAAATTCATGTGATATAGACTCAGGACAATTAACCATGTGTGTTGCTTTTCACTTTTCAAGGATTGTTAGTGGAGTCCTGGAAACAAATGTCGCCTTACCAGGCCTGGTTGTGCAGTTCAGTAATGATGATGGTAAAACCTGGAGTGACGTTAAACCTGGTTTAAAGGTGACAGGAAAGGTCACTCTCATTACAAGGTAAYTCACCTGWGCTCTAAAGMAAAACCTTATCTTTTCACACATCAAACTATTTCAGATCGACATTTAAGRTACGSTAATACGAGTAGCAAAATCGTCCAACTTGTCTCGCAACATTGCTCAAAAACAAGTTGGAAAGCGATGTTGCGCGTTTTACTACTGRCGAAMCAAATTGTCTCGCATCAAAATAATTTGATGCATGTTAAGCAAATCCTTATTTCTGATTGGCCAATTCAGTCAGCTGATTGTCGCGCGACGTCATTTTGGTGCGAGACRAGTTGGGTTGATGTAGTAATACGGGCAACATCTTCGAGTTTTGTTGCAAAAAKTAGAACCATCTTCTACTTCCTGCAGCATACTTTTTCAACTTGCAACAAAATATTTTGTTGTGAAAAAAGTTGGTTTGCCGCTARTAAAACGCGCAACATCGCTTCCCAACTTGTTTTGCAGCAATGTTGCCACAAAAGTTGKACGATTTTTCTGCTCGTATTACCGTACCTTWAGTCAGATTGTCAGCTCTTGGTGAAGGAGAAACCAATGGYCTTTGCYCGCTTGAAGCTGTTAGCAAATGCTAGAATTTTAAATCACTTTTTGCAGAAAGAATTAAAAAAAAGATTATTGTTGAATTGGTTTATATCTTTTGGTTCTCATCTTAATGCGTGAAAATGATCAATATGTGCTTCTGTATTTCTACGTAATATAAGGTTACATGTTCAATCATGTTTTTAGGTCAGCAGACAGACGTCGTCAAAGCAGGCGCATTACCGTTCAAAACTAGCCTRTGGAAAAGAAGAATGAAAGAGAATCACAGCTAAAGCTAGTAAAATATTCTCAATAAATATTCATTAACATTCTGTGTCGTCAAGATTTTTCGTTGGTTTGCTATTTCATCAATGACTCTTGCATAAACATGGGCAGATTTCATGGACAGACCTTTTCTGAAATACAAAATTATAGTGCATTGTGGACTAGCTTAATTACAAACAATGCCATATTTGGCAGCATGAACAAAAGACCTTTGTACCTGACGAATCTACACCACAATTCAATGCAAATTACTTACTCGGTCTCAGAAAAGGCCTCAAACTGGCCTCCAAATTAGAAAAGAAGGTTTGAGAATTTAAGCAAGAAATATAAAGGATCTCGTAGTATAAATGATCAAAATTCAAGGAGAAAGAATAAATTAAAAATCTTATCCAATCATATCAAAAGCTACTCTAACTAATTGTTACATATATTAGAGCGTTATTCAATGTCGTCACACAAGTATCGTGTCACT